ATTGATTTTAGGATCCAGAACTGGCACATAAAAGACGTGGAGCTCATTGGACTTTTGACGCAACAGGTTTGTGAGATATAGTTTAAAAGTTAAACCATTAAATGTAATAAGGAGATAATAAATAAAATATACAAGTAGGTTTTGTAAAAATGGTGAAGAGCCTTTCAAACAAAAAGGCAGAAATACTAGCACCAAGTTTTGATCATGCAAAAGGCGACCCAGAATATGACTCGATTTTAATAAAGAAATCCATAAAAATCATAATAGTTGAAGGGTTGTACACTTTGATGGAAAAAACAGAACCATGGAGCAAAACTTTATTATGCTGGAACGAAAAATGGATAATAAAACCTAAAAACGAACTAGCAAATACCCAAAGACTGGCCCAAAGACATGTAGAAACTGGTCTTGAACAAAATATAAATGATGCGCTAGAAAGAATCAGAATCAACGACTCTGTAAATGCAAAGGATGTAATAGAAAACTTTCCTAAAAGTTTTGATATCATAATTCACAATTAATAAAATAAAAACGTTTCAAAAAAAATGTGCGTCAGCCGGGAGTCGAACCCGGGCCAATTGCTTGGAAGGCAACTATTCTACCGCTATACTACTAACGCTCGCTCCCGGCTAGGCTTGAACTAGCAACCTCCTGATTAACAGTCAGACGCGCTAACCAATTGCGCCACGGAAGCAAATATCCGAACACCCGGATTTGAACCAGGGACCTAGAGATTACTATTAAACTACAGTCTCCCGCTCTACCGCTGAGCTATATTCGGGATTTTTAGTATAAAAAATTAAAGCTTATATTAGTGTATTATTTTTTATATAAAGGTTGTATTTAATTCACTGTATTGACTGATAGCTTGTTGGGTATTGAGGCAACTATTATGTTAAGAAGTTAAAAATAAGATTTTTTGGTCTGAGTCTTCTAGGATCGATGTAAAACCATTTATTTTTGACGCTAGCCCAAGCATTGTCTTTAAAAGGGTTTTTATTCCAATACAATATTATTTTGTGTTTTAATCCACCCTTAAACCTTTGAAATAGTTCATGATCTTTTTTTATACATAGACAGGTTATGTTCAGTTCTAGCTTTTATGATTTCCCGAATACAAAATGAAAAGAACGATTTGTTGCTGGGGTTAATACTTTTTAGGGGGTTGAATTCACAGAGGATGGTGAATTTGTTAATGAAATTTTTATTTCTTCCTCTACATTTGATTTTGTTTATAAATTGGTTTATCAAGGTCAAAAATCCCTTTATTTTTGGACATTCATAGAATGTGTTTGAACGATTATATCGATTCCTTGCAAATATTACATATTGGATTTCATTCTAATTTCTTTGTTTAAAAAGTTATTGAGGGTATTGCGTTTTGAAAGAATTTTCAAGTTCCTGCTTTTATTTTTGGATCAACATCTAGTTTATTGAAGTCTGTTTATTTGTGATAGATTTTTTTATCAATTTCCCATCCCTTTGATTTAGTGTGAATTCTTTTCTGCATTTGGAAGATAAACTTTTTGGTTATTTTAAGAGTAAATAAAGAAAGTTTTTTGTTTGCAATTACGATTTTCTTATTAGGAAATAGTTTGATATTT